TCGCGTTCTGCAACACTAATGCTTCTCTAGAAATACGTTAAACCTATAACCTACACATTACAGTATCGCAATATTGGTAATCCTCTGGCCCACTATGAACAGACGGCTGAAGAAATCATTGATGCACTCGACGGGAATGTTGACTATATGGTTTGTTGTAAATAGCATTACCGCATTAGAGCCGCAATACCCGAATTCCAAATTAGCATGAATTGACTTAGCTGGCACTTAATTATCACCTGTTCATCACAATTGAATTAGACGAACATTCCGTAGCTATTTCTTTCGTGAATTCTAGCCTATTTTCTGCGGATGGAATTATATCCACCACTTAGTTGAACTCATCAAATTGTATAATAGGTTGTGGCAGCTGGAACAGGTGGCAGCATTACTGGAATTGCAAAAAAAATCAAAGAAAAAGTCCCGCATTGTGTGGTACGTAACTTCGATATTGCCTCGTAATGTTTAAGACCTAATTAAAAGTTGTTTGTGTTATCAGATTGTTGGTGTGGATCCAGAGGGTTCGGTGCTTGCTGATCCAAACGAGAACGAAGCAGGTTTTTACGAAGTGGAGGGCGTGGGATATGATTTCGTGCCAGGAACACTAGACAGATCCGTAGTCGATAAATGGCTGAAGTCCACTGATCAAGTGAGTTGTGACAAATTTTGATCATTCAACAAATAGAGAGCGCAGAAATTTTTACCATGACATGAAGTGGAATAAGCAGTTGGATATATAATAAATAAACATATATATATATATATATATATATATATATATATATATATATATATATAAGATTTTTTAGAGCTTCACATATATAAACACGTAGAGCGTATCTCAGTTAATTCAAAGTCTATCTATTTTAAATAGAAAATCCTAGAGTCAGCAGATCTTTAATTAGAAATTGAATTTATCATATTCCACAGAGGTGAATTTCGACTTTCTCATTTAGGTCAAGATACGTTTCTTTTCGATTATCAAATTGACCAAACGGGCTGCATTTCGTTTAGCATAGCACGATGTTGTTTCCCAGCGTGTCGTTTATGTTTCCAGCTGTTGCTTCTCTATTGAAAAACTTAAGAGCCTTTAATTTCGTCCCTTGTGCTTTGGAATTCAGAATTTTACCTTTGTCGAATTGAAAGCCTAAGATAGCTCTCAGAGATAAAGCTCGCGGCGTTGATGTATCCTTGAATAATGCGCCTTGCATTCGTCTTCAATTTTTCGCTTCGTTTGAGGTGAATGAATGCATATCTGGCCTTTACAATGAGTTAAGGTGACCTACTGCCCTATCTAATTAGTTCTGTTTGACCACCAGACAAGTTTGGTACCAATTTATCGACCCCGCAAGGATCTATAGCTTGAGGAGCGATGAGCGCGAGATCGAGCCATTGACCTAATTGCGACGTAGAACACCTCAAACCACTGCGCCACATGTGGTCATTACTGAAAGCATGTCCTTTAAAGAATATGTATATGTCTGTAAAATTAAGGTGAAGTATCCAGTATTAATCTATGAAGTTATCAACTTCTCAAACTCTCCGTCGATTGAAAATTTGTCGTCACTTGTGGAAGCCCACTATGGGGCATTTCGGCTGGGACTTTTTTGAACTCTTCGGCGATCACTAAACATTTTTTAATATTTACGAAAAGTGTCAAGTTAGTAACTGCCCACGCCGAACCGTTGGCGGATGGCTGTTGAAAGATAACGCGTTGTAGCGTAGAAAGAGTGGTGTCAAAACGGGCGTCGGTAGTGCAACGGTTGAGCACGCGCTCCCGAAAAGGGTGAAATCGGGGTTCGAATCCAAGCTGACGCAAAGGTTTTTGCACGCCATTCTACATTATTGGGTATATCAAAAACTTTCGTAATTTTTTAAACAAATTGATCCATAAGTATTTATTTTTTCTATATAGTATCAGTATTGTTGCCATAGATATTCGAATAGTAAGCATGCATTATTTTCGGAATCATTCGAAACAGCTCGTGATCTGATCAGCAAAGAAGGACTTCTTTGCGGCGGCTCTTCAGGCTCAAACGTACACGCTGCTCTACAGATCGCTAGGGGACTTCCGGCCGAAAAAAACGTCGTCACTATACTACCCGACGGAATCAGAAACTACCTGTGAGAACTTTTTCTTACTTTGATGTCACTGTTGCGTTACCTGTGTGATGTATTACATCGCCGTAATAATGGATTTTGTTCAGGACAAAGTTCATCGATAACGAATGGATGGCTGCCAGGCATTATGACATCAATGAAAGGTTTTAACGACAACTTTATCACACCATTACCGCCGTTCATATTCCGACATACTGTGATGGTTTTTTTTTTATTTTCGACGTGAAGTAAAACAATAATGAATGTACTTTGTGAGAGATAAGATTCCACTTATGTATTCAAATTTTTTTTAGAAAAAACGCAACAGAATAGATGCTCTCAGGACAATTTCTAGAAAATGAGCAATTGTCTTTAATTTTATAATCATCAGTATAAAGGCTATCAACAGCTCCCTTTTCTTGACATTGTACTAATAGTTTTTGCGGATGCTGCCATGTTGTCGTTCTTCATAAGACTTAAAAATAAGAAACATTTATTCCTCAGGAAGCGATGAGATTGACTTTCACGTCGTCTCTAATTTAAAGTGCTATTTTCTAGTTCTAATGATTACATTTATTTTTGAGGGTTTAAAATAATGTTGTCAAAACAAATGCACTTTAAGAATTTGACCATGCAACAAGAAGTATGCATGAAAAGCATACTAAGTTTGAGTTGAGGAAAAGTAATTCCGTAAAACTTTATTTTTGAAGACCAGAGTGTAAAACATACTACAGTCATAGTGTAACAGGCATGAGTGGCTCATTTTTCTTGTCGTAATTTTTCTTGTCGCCCCAAAAACAGTTGAGAGCAGTTACACCCTGTATCTGAACTCGAATCGCCGGATTATACTTATAGTAGACAAAAATACGTATTGTTGACGACAACACAAACAGATTTGTTCCCAGGTCGCTGACCAACACGTAGAAGACGTTAAAATTTCCATGCTCATCCTGAAACATGAAATTCTTTTATTTTGAAAGAGGAAACTAGATGAGTAAATACATTTGAGTGCAAAATCACACAATAGCTCCATTATTTTAGTTTGAAAACAAGTCTTCTGTTGGAAAATTTTACCACAATCTCAACACAAGCGCTAAATGACAACGTAGAAATCACCACGATTGCTTTCCCCTCTACAATGATCTCGATTCTTCTCAAAAATTGAAATGACCCTCTTTCTTATCTAATTCCGTACTCCCTTCATTCTCTTTTTTGACACCGAATGTTATAATTTGTCCCGTCAATTGACTGATTTTGCTGGATATGTAATAATCACATACACATATATCAAACCTTATCTTCTTGCTGGCGATTTTCTGAAAATAATCTATGTTCCTTCGGGCAAAGGCTTACAATATGATAAATGAGCGTCGCGAAACACTAAGGAAAAGAATAGTGCAAGAGGTAGATAGCCACCCGAATTCATTTTCATCGTAGCAATAAGATCACTTGCCAGAGAACAAAATATTCTGCTCTATCAGGTTGAATTCTCGTTTAGCGGTAAATCTCCCGACCTGTGTGAGGTGGCTGTTGAATATCTCTATGCAGTAAAGAACGAAATTCACACTGTTACAAGCTAAATAGGACGAAATGATGACAATGGTTGTCCTCACAGCGCAACGAAGGCGTTTGTACTCACGCCGTTCCTCTTCTTCAGCGGCACTTTGCTTTGCCTGTAATTATCTATAATGAATAATTTATCTAGTATAAACTCTCCAACTAAATGAGTAATATGGCGCACTATGATGATAATAAGTATCTCTTCCATGCGTTATTCCTTTTTGACAGTGTTACACAAACACTCCTTTAGCTTGTTCTGCATATTTTTAAGGTAAGTGAAACGAAAAGTGATTTTTTAAAGCGATATTGCTCTACAACAAAACTACAGTAGATATTAGATGGGAGGTCTTTTTCAGGAAAAAATAGAAGAGAAAAAAATTGGACTAGTTGAATCGATATGCCGCACCAATAGTAAGCCTATAGGCCCTCTGAGAAGCTGGAATTGAATTTATGCGCATTTCGCTATCGTTTTAGTGAATAAGCCTCGCTATTCGGTCACGAAAGAAACGAAAAAAATATAACCTCTTTATACTAGATTGGGTGCGATATTTTCATGTTCAGAAAATCCTCATTAGAGAGAAAATCAAACTGACGGTATGTTGAATTGCTGGGCAAGCAGACTGCCTTCTAGCTCGACGATGGGAAGTGCGCAACTTCTTTACGACAATACAGTTTAGTACACATAGAATAACGAATGATACGAAGAGATGAAGAAACTAGAAAGAAATGTTCTTCACCACAAAGAAAGTGTTCATAGCGATCAAAAAGTTGTTGACCTGGATGAAAATGTCACTTATTCTGTACAGTTTCGCTATTTGAGGATCTACTTCCTTTCCCAGCAAGATGCGGCTCTCGAACAAATCGCAGTTGGGAAGCTCTACCACTTCAATAAAGAAATATCCGGGCAGTCGCAGAAATATAACTACTGTAGCGATAATCAACACCGTAATTTGTAGATTTCGGCTGCTAAACAAGAAGTGTATAGATCTTTAAAATTTTAGTATTTTTCACAATGTTATGATGTTACATATATACTTATGAGAATTGAGTGGTGAGCAAAAATACGGAAAGTCGTCCCCGGTATGGATGAAACGCGGGTTCGATTCGCGCCTGTGGCCGTGTTTTTGCTCACCACTCAGTTCTCTTAGGTATAAATGTAACATCATGACACTGCGAAAAAAAGCAGTAGAAATACTAGAACTTTGGAGTAATACATCTAACAGTAGCTGTCAGCTTAAATGGGCATATAAAGCGAAATCGCATACCCGACCAAACCTGATAAAGGTTGGTGGCTGATATTCAACACAGAAATGTTGAAAAATGAGTGGTGGCACAAATATGCCTCGGTTGTGCAGTGGTAGTAGCACGCGTCCCCGGACAGGATGAAGCGCGGGTTCGATTCCCGCCTGGCCTTGTTTTTGCTCACCACTCAATTCTTTTAGGTGTATAGATCTCTGTTGGCAGCTTCAACGCTTTTCGCTCGATAATATTAGTTTCAGTTGAGGATTTCTGAAGAAAATCTCACCGTATCTGCCGAGGACTTCGTTCTGTGATGGAAACCAATCGGAAAGCTGTATTGGCAATCAGAATATAGGGAATACACAATTGAACCATACGACTTGCTATAAGCATGTGCACATCGTACGTTTTCATTGTAAGATATAACCATTCTGGAAAGTTTCCGGAATTACCCATTGTACGAAATTCGAAGATATTGTACTAAGAGTCATGTACCTATCCTTAAAGTGACGGAGAATTTGTGCACACCAAAGCAAGTGATGAACAGAAAACAGAGCATAAAATCGAGGAAGGCAAGAAACGTCTGAAATGGATTGCTGGAACTCCTGGACAGGAAAACGATTAGCAGTAGTAGATTGCATCCACATCCTACGATAGATATAACACTTCCGAAGCTGAAAAGAGCAGTAAAAACAGTAACTTGCAAAATCAGTCGCTTACCCTTTTCTCTTTAGAAACCAAAAAAGTGGATTAGTTTAAGCGTTCCTTCATATTATACTCAAATCACACTATATATCTTAGATTGTTTGTCATAAATAGAAGCGACATTTGTCGGAACTGGCAGGATTTAAGCAACGAAAAAGTTTCCGTAGGAAAAAAGTAGGGATTACGTTTTTCGGCTCTAGTGGCAGAGAATTTGAGTCAATACCAAATGCCGCTGAAGAGTGTAGAACAATTTCATAAGCAACGAAAATTTGAACGTTGCTATAGTAGTAGGACTTGCAATATACTGCTTTTATAATAAACCACGAATGGATTCGTCATGAAAGACCTGGAAGAGTTCTAGCCGCTAAAAATTCTCAAAAATAAAGACAACTGATGGGTTTTGCGATTCCAAAATTTAAAAAAGCAATTATTTTATTGAGATGTATTGACATTTCGCGTTCTCCTTCACGTAGGATCGACTTCGTAAGGCCTGTGAGTCGACTGATGCTTGAAATACGCAAATCAGTTAATTCGTTCGCTTTTGGAAGGATCTCATATGGACGACAATAGTAAGAAACGTTGGTAATAACCATTCCATGCCGTATGATAGCCGAGTTAACACTCCACTACTAGCTAGGAAATAGCTTAGTCAAAGTTCATAGAAGAATAGAGCTTTTGCTCGACCATCATCCGTTGTCAAGCTTAACAGTCTTGACGCCAAAGGCATCCACAAGATGACGGAATCGGTGTATCTACATTGGCATTCAACAGCATCATCGATTACGATGGATACTGAACATTGGAAAAAGTTGAGAGATGGATAAACTATTAAACTGGCCTTACAATCGTTTGCTCCATTTGCTCTAGGAATTTTTCCTTCCTTTATAAAAAAAAGTTTGAAGATTTTTGACTTGAAATATAATCTAGTGGATCGAAACTTGATATCTCCCCACTTGGAATGGAACAACACACGTCACGGTGGTCCATAGCATTGTTAGAAGTTTGACTAAACAAAAAATTCAATAAAATTGCTGGAAGGAAGCTGTGGTACGCACCAATTAAGAGCCACAAACAAATAACGACCTTTATATTATATTTTGCAAGATGGTCGCGCAAAGTGAGCTTTTCGTAGTCTAAACTCTTAGCACTTTAAATACTTTATGGTTGCAGCTTGTCAGCAAACGGTGTTCCATGAAATCATCAATGAGCTTTTCATTTTTTTCTCTTTGTCTGAGCAAGCAATTGAAGGAAATCTTGAAAAATCAATATGATCCAAGAGGTTTTACCATTGTAAAATCTGTGATTTGGCAAAAATTATGCTTAAAGCTGTTCCCTCACACCGACTAGCTAATAGTAAAAATTTGTCATGTTATAAAATATTTAGTATTGATATATACGACTCCAACTAAGATACTATGGGATGCCAAAAGTGAAAAAAACCGCCTTTGAAATGGTTTATCAGTATTTACGGTACTTCATTCTTCCTATCCTTCCTAAGAAAGTGGGGTTTAGTGTGCCGCGTGTAGCTCTGATGAAGCGGATGATGCCACCGATATGTATGTAAACCAGTGACCTAGCAACCTCGAAAAGGCTTCAGACGTTCTCACAGACTATATCAAATTTGTTTAGCAAAGTTTAAGATCAGTTGATTTGAAGTCTACTTCATTCTTTTGTGCGACAGTAGCAGCTTTGTTTGTGAAAGAAGGCAAAACCAGGCAGATAAACCCATATGACTAACAATGGATTTCGGCCTTATATTGAAAGTACACAGAAATGGCACTCATCATCATCATCGTTGCCTTGTTATTACTACCGTCGCCAACTTAGGTTGGATTTATCTTATGCGAATGAAACATCATTTCATAAAGTTTATCGCAGTCATGAGTTTCAGACATTGTTTTGAACCGTTTTACAACATATAACGTCAACAAAATTTGGCTCTGTGAATAAATAAAAGATGCAATAATTTTACAGTCAAAAATAGCGTTTGTAGTACAGCATGGGATACAGGATGTGATTTAATAAAATTGATTTGTGTCGTTTTTAAGGTTCTTCAGAGTGAACATGAAATCGGAAGGACTTCAACGGAATGTGCATATCGTTGAGTTTTTTAAATGGTTGATTGTAAAAAATGCGTAGCTGGCGATTTTTTATGGAAAAACGGTTGAAAATGAGAAAGTAAAGTCTTCATGCAAGATCGTTCATGTGAAATCCATTTGTCATTTCTCTTCAGCTATAATCTTAGCCATAGATTAAAAGAAGTTACTCTGGAATTATTGGATGAAATATTTTCAGGTACTTGAGACATATAAATGATGACAATTGCCTGGAAAGCATTTAGCTAGACAGGTTTACGAAAAACTGTGATTCGATCTTATTGAATACAAGTTAAAGTAGATGTTAAGCTGTAAGGCCTAGGCATTTTATAAATTTTCCCAATATACGAGAGAAATACCATGTGATACTCACTAATCTGAGAAAGCCGGACGAAAAAGTAATAGCGCAAAGTAAACAAAATCAAAATTTCAAAAAAAAAACCTGATGAATGCTAGTCGAAGATTCGGGTGGGTATCGACGTCGCATGCAGCACTATCTGTTAAATTCGAGAGATTCGCAAGTGTTGAATCATTCATACCTTAAAGCTTTTGTCTTGCATGAGATAACATTGTTGATCATTGTTTTTCTTAGAGTAATATCACGAAAGATACCCTAATGACCATCTTTTGTGTATTATAGCAATGAGGCCTAGACATTTTCAATAGGATAGTTTCTCTTCCAAAATTAAGACTCATGCTTTCAAACTAAGGAAATGCATCACAGACGGACCATTAAAAATGTTTATCATACTTAACGATAAAAATATCAAAATGGATAGCAGAGTGAATTTAAATTTTCATTCCTATTTTTGCCGTTTCATGAAAAGTAGTAAACAAATTCAAACAATGTTTGCGACGCATTGAATATTGGACGCGCAATGCTATTGGCTCGCGAATTTATACCGCTCTCAAAATTCGAAATAATCAGAAAGTTAAGTGGAGCGAAAAAATAAGCCAACCATAATTCACATTACGAATTCTTCTTTTGTGGATTAGTTAAATGTCATAGACTGGGATGATTGAGATTTTGATTGGTTGCTATAGCAGCTTGAAGTGAAAGCAGAATTCCACCTATTTATTTTTTTATGATTGAAATTTAGCAACCACATTAGCCATTCTCGTTTAATTATAAACTGAATAGTTGAATAAGACAGATAGAAGAATATTGTGAGTAAGCCAGAAAAGAACAAGAAACAAGAAAGAACGAATGTTGTGTCAATCTGGAATGTTTGAGCGGAAAATCATGTATTCATAAATGAATCTTGATCCGGCGATTACACACTTACAAAGTTATGAGAAGACCATGTGACTTTCCAAGTGGTTCATTACTAATCCCACAACTGACAGCATAAGACAGGCTTGAAAGCACTAACTCAAATGGAATTCGAGATCAGACTAACCGGTTTTGCAAGCGAATATTTCCTGATCTAGTAGAGCTTGCTATGACATATTCCAGAATCTTGAAAGCAAACAAATATATGGATATTGTAATTATTACGATGATTCAGCGACACCGTTGATAATACGCGGGTTATTTTGCCTGATTCAGATAGATCCATGCAGAAACTTTTTATCGAGACGCAAAATAGACTTACATAAAATCTATGCACTAAAGAGTATAGTTGTCAAGAGAAGCAGAAGGACAAACTAGTAAAAGTCAAATGAAACCTGATACTTTATAGACAACCCCTGCTAATTCTATTTTGTGTAACTGTTACTGATTAATCGTGAAATTCAACGAAATTTTTGTTATCAGTAGATGTGTACAGGGATCTGATTCATCTTTTAGGTCAAAATAACGAACATCTTAAATGAAACTCATAGTTGAATTGCATAGTTAAATTGCACTATACTGTCGCCAGGAATTTGGATATACGTCGACAATCCAACAAGCAAAAACAAAATACATCTATTATCCGTCTAAGAAATTTATATGGATTTGGATAGAAACTATGTAGGCACTAGCTAGCTTTTTATGTGAAGTTGAACGTCAAAATAGAATAGCACAACTTTTGTGTGCATCGAAATATTTTTCAAAGAAACCTATATAATGTGCTCCAGAAACCATGCTCATATCTAAAAACCATAAACAAAATCGATTTATTTTACTTCTAAGGAAAAGTTAGCTGTCCGAGTTGACCATAGCGTTCTAATGTGGACTAATGAACCATGGATAGGTGAGAAAAAAACAGTCTTTGTGGTGTCGGACCGATTCAGTTCCTAAATCCGTATTGGTTCGACTAACAAATCACTCCAATCAAGTCCTGATACATATTCATACAGGAATCACTGAGACACTAATACATAACTCACGACTAATCTTTACGGACTACTTTGACCAGTTCTCTCCAAAATCTGATTTATATAAATTTTGCAGGTCACA